AAGACCAGTCTAAAAATGATCTCTGTAGAAGTAGTAAGTCCTTTCTCATTTCTCCAGCAGTGAATAGCTCCGGTATTCCACACTCAATTATGTTTTTCAGCTATTCATTAGTGCTGATTTTTTCATCAAAAAGTAGAACCCTGCACTCTCCCAGCGTGGACTTAGAGCAAATAAGCTGACATCTTGTTTCCTGTGTATGCCATCACATAAATGAAACTGAACTGTAATATTTAGAAATACACTTTGAAAAATATTCAACGTTTATATATTTAAAATATAGTGATGCTCTGACTCTTTAAGAAAAAGGTTGTTCAGTTTGTTTGTTGTATTTCCAGAGGAGAAAAATGATACTGACTGAGCCAAGATGATATATAAAACATTTTTATTGAGGTGTTTTTGTGTTTTGTAGTAGAAATGTAATTTCTTTTATTTTTGTTTGTTTTCCAGGAAAATGAACTTTAAATATTAAATGTTTATTTTTTTACCATATTGGAAAGTATAATCAGATAGCTCTGTGACTTCATACAAATCTGATTTTTTACTTCTTAATTTCGGAGTGAGTGAAGAGAAGTAAAGCAGTATTAAATAATGTTGGAGAAAACTGTTTTTATGAGCAAAATTCTCAGGGAACTGATTGCATGGTTTGTACATTTGATTGTGTTTTCATACTACAAAACTGTGTTAGAAAATCTTTACATTGGGGTAGCGCTTAATGACTCAAAATGTTTGATCATGGCCGTATTTTCTATGGGCTGTATAAAAGCAGGTGTATTAGTCTGAAGTTACAGGAAATTATGTGAGTAATATAAAAAGACTGAAGAAGGCAACCAAGCATATACATGCTGACTATAAATATGCTTTCTAATGTGCACATGTACAGATAACAGATGTTAGGTATACATATTTATTATATCAATATGTTTTTACAGAATAAAAGTCTGCCATCTGTATCTTTTTGCATGTACATCAGAAAACCAATCTTTCCTAACTTCTTGTCAGTCTACTCATTAAAAACCCTCAAAACATGGTTTTAAAGAGAAGTCAGAATAAATCTATTTAGTAATAAGCAATTACTGTTTCAGTGTTGAGATACAGGGGAACTATTTCAGTGTCTTCCTTCTCAGTGTATGGCTGAACTGTAATAATTCAAGATTTTAGATTATCCCACTCTGGAACCCAAATTGTAGCAAATGGTGTGGTTAATTTTTAGAAATATGGAATTGGTTACTTCTGAATATCAGTTTCTTCTTTGTATTGCACAGAGTATTTTACCTAAAGAAAGCTATAGTGTTTGAAGGAATGGCTGTTGTGTGTTTGTTGTTGCTGCTGAGAGTGTTTAAAGTAGTCTGAACAACTAACATCATGCGTCTTGTGCATATTTTTTTCGATGGAGAGAGTGAGTGGGGCTTGTAGGTGAATACAGATACATGTATGGGTAGAGAAATAGCAGACTGCAGCTCTGTGAGTTGGTGACTATGAGGGTCTGCTCTGGTTTGTGGAACTAATATTTACCTGAGACTTGTAAAAAAATATGCAGTTCCTCATCTTAAAAAATAAAACATTCTTCAGCTTAGCTCTAGGACTTAGTTCACTTCTGAATCTGTTAACCTATTAATTTTCTACTCCAGTCGTGAAACCCAAGTGTCATTTAATTCTGGAAACCAGGTTTTGTAGACTTATTCTGTTCTAGACTTCAACTTGCAGTTTCTACAAATCCAAGATGTTACTGTCCAGATTTAACAAGGTTTTTAGGTCCTTTGCTTCACCTTTTTTTTCAATGGAAATTAAATGGGAAAGAGAAGTTCAGAGAGGATTCTAGGAGTCTAGGATGTTTGGCTCCTTCTGGGTATAAATGTTAGACTCTTAAGTAAGAATGAATCTCCTCATCTTTCAGGAGCATGCACGCTTAAGATGAGCACAGGATATATCCCTTGTAAATAGCTGAAACTTTCTGCATTAGAAAAAGCCTGGCACGATTAGAGATGGCTCTGGAAGAGGGATTAATAACACAAGATTATAACTGTGTGTTTATAGTGATTTGTAAAACCAAGTAACATAAGGCTTTGGCACTTCTATACTAAATCCCAGCTTTGTGTCATGAATGCTATTTTCTTTGTTACCTAATCTTATCTAAGACCAGGGGATTTTAAAGTTAGGTGGTTAATGTTCCCCTCCTTTGTTTCCCAAGGAAGCTCTTATTTAACACCTTAGTTGGAAATTATTTATAGGAGGAATAAAAAAGAACACGTCACTATTTAATTTCTTTTTTGTACGCTTTCTTCTTTTATAATTTTGAATTTACTGTAAATTGTGATAGTTCTGCCTGTACTGCGGGACCATATGTGTTATATCTTACATGCAAAGTAATTTTAAAAGCAACCAACCTTTTCTCTGATAGCAAATGTTCTTTTAAGATATCTTATTTTAAAAGCACCTTTTTATATCAGGCTCAGTTAGTAATGAAAAAGAATTAATTGAACCTGGTGTTTCTGAAGTTGAGTTACTCATTGTCTGCCGTGTTCCTGTTAGAATGTAAAGTCACTGCCACTAATGATTACTTGCCACAGATGATATTGGGATTACTATCAAGCAAGAAGAATCCTCTGTTAGTCTATGGCTCCTTTACAGTCATTTAAGACATGCCGAGAGGGTGGGAACGTGGTCAGGGTATCTTTGTACTGTAGCGTTTGAGGACTGTGTGTTCTCAGTTGGTCTTCACAGTCCATGGGGCAGTTGTCCTCCAACATATATCAGAGAAACTTATAGAATATTCTAAGGAATGCAGTGGCAGAATCACCGTGAAGAACAGGGCAGGCTTATGACTGAGAGAGCCCAAAGGCCACCTGTGAACCCTTTTACTTTTCTCACCCCCTGGTCATTAATCTTCAAGGCTGAGTGAAATTCATCAGTCATTCCCCCTCCACCCTATGGCAATAGCAAAGAGATTAACAGGTATGCTTTGGGGAAAGTAAATGCTCTGATTTAGGGGAACATTCCAGGCTCTTTTGAAACATATATGAAAAGCAAAACAGTTTGTATTTTGGGGGGGAATATGCACCTACCACTCAGTGAGGTAAATGCTTCCTTAGTTGCAAAACATTATAAACTTTCAAATAAACCCTAGTAGGCCCTTTTTTGGTACCCTTTCTGCCATAACCCTTACTCTTCTCTTTTCTTTTGACTGAATTTATAATAAACACAGAATTAAGAAGTTAAAAAGGGCGTGGCAGGATCTGGGCTATTCAAAGCAAGCTACTTCGACTGATAATCATGTACACAAAGCCAGTTGTCCCCTCTCTCATTGAATAAAACGCAGAGTAACCAAGTGAGGCAGAGCTCCAACACAGGTGTAGCAGAAGTTGAAGAAGGGCAAGATACCAGTGTTGTAGTAATGAGGGAGTGGCTGCGAAATCTGACAAACCACCACGATTAATAAGCATTATGCTGAACATTCATGTTAGACAAAAATATGTCCTTTCTAATACCTAAAATGGGAAAGAATGAGCTTGAGCGTATGCCCAGGACAGGTGAAAAAATGTTTTGCCTGTATCTTGCTTGCCTGTTTCACATGAGATATTGGTTCATTGCTCTATTTTTCAACTGAGTTAAAAACCACCAGGCAACAAAGCCCCAGAAGTGTCTTTTGCCTCTTACCACAAACACACCTGTCCATCTGCCAATCATCCAACCGGCCATCTCCGATCCTAGTTATTATAACTTCTCATTAATATATCTGCCAGCATCTTCTGGAGAGTGTCCTGTGAAGCCAGCATTCATCGATCTGAATAATTTGAATCTTTGTTCTGCCTTTAGAATCATAGAATCATTTTGGTTGGAAAAGATCTTTAAGATCATCAAGTCCAACCGTTATCCTAACACTGCCAAGCCCACCATTAAACCATGTCCCTGAGCACCACATCTATATGTCTTTTGGACACCTCCAGGGGTGGTGACCCCACCACCTCCCTGGGCAGCCTGTTCCAATGCCTAACCACTCTTTCAGTGTAGAAATTTTTCCTAATATCCAATCTATATCTCCCCTGGTGCAACTTGAGGCCATTACCTCTTGTCTTGTCTTTACCCACCTAGTTGTATTAGATGCCTTTGGTAGAAGCTGGCCAGTCAGAGGGGACATCTCATGGGTAATACTTTGCTCTCCCATCAGGTTTTAAGCAGCAGATCCTTACCACTCGTAGGCTCTTGCTTACAGTCGCTCAGCTCATCCTTTTCCTCTGCTTTCGTTGTTAACAACAGTGCAATATGACCACAGTGACAGAAAAAAGTGTCACTATAATGTCATAAAACTTGCTGCAGCTTCTTGGGTAATGAGGGTGATTCTTCTACCACCAAACAGTATCAACATCTGCGGTTTTGTCATCTCACTGGTTGATACTACTGATTGCATCGTCTGATTCAAAGCCTGGAAATTGCCAAGGTGACAAAGACTTTTATGTAATCTAAGAGTCTTTACAGTGAAGGGCTTCTGTTTGGGAAATTAGATTCTAGTTTGCTCTGGAAAAAAATTCAATCTTGTGTATCTGCTGGCATTTTGTTATTTGAACATTTTTGCAAACTGACGTTGTGACTGACTTCTCACAGACTAGAGAAACACTAGGAAATCAATGGAAACCAAATGGAAAAAAAAACGTGCTGGGGTGTATAACTTTTCTAACATTCAGTAGTTCTGTGTAGTCAAAAGTGTTCTACTTTAAGCTATTTTTTTCTATTTTCAGATGCAATTGGTGAAGTGTAAGTGATAAGCAGGTTAGTCTTTTCAAACATGAGGTCTTTTGTTTCTGCTTTTTATCTCACTTTGAGTGAAAATTTGCATTTTTATGGTCTGAGTAAATAGAAGAAAAAAAAATTACTTCTTAGATGTGACAACACTGAAGCAGCAGCTCAGTCGGTAGAGCAAATGAATACACTCATTTGTATTGGGTCCTCCTAATATCATGCTTCTTATTAATGGAAAAACACTCCCTTTATTATTTCCTTTGCAGATATTTGTACGCTCTAGGACAGAAGGTTTGGAAGCGGTGGAAAAAACGCTACTTTGTTCTTGTTCAGGTTAGTAGTCTGTCATGAAATTTCGTTAAAAAGTAGTCTTGGACTATCAATTTTCTTAGGTGTGTTTTCTGGAGCCATTAGTAAACTAGTATCTTCAGGCAACATATGCAACACTACTCCAAGCTTCTTACACCCTGGAGACATCCTGGGTATTTTTTTGTTTAAATTTACATATGTGGGAAACAGAAATGTCACTGAGTTTTACGTATATGTAAATGAGTCACAACACTGAACAATCTTTCAACTGAAACCTAGAAATTTCTGGATGAAATTTTTGTGACCCTGAAACATTCCGCTGGCAGCTTTCTGGCAGCATGCAATTTAAAATAGTTATATTTCACAAAGTGGATTGCACTTACTGTTTCATTCATTCTACCCCAACCAAGATTTCTCACCTTTAAAATGAGAGCAATGATAGTTACTATGAAGAACTTTTTCTTAAATATCTTTTGAATAATGTTATTTTTTCTTCTTCCTTGCAATATTACATTGGGTAAATTTTTGTGAAAAACTGATGTATCAATTGTTCTTGGCCACAAAAATGTGCTGGGCTGATATTTCATAACTTTTTGTCCAAACCTAGAACTGCAAGTATTTTCACATGCTGGTGAATGGTGACATTAAGATGAGATTCATAGAATAGGAATAGAAAAGTAGATTTTGAGTGGCTAAAACTAGGAAACTAATTATTTTTATGAGTCTTTCTAAATATTATTTTCTGTTTGTGATTGTCTTCAGATTGCAGTGACAAATTTAATGTTGTTCTGAGTCAGTTCAGAGAACGCTATTCTTCTGTTTCCTTTGTTTTGTTGACAGAAAACTGTTAAAGTTTGAGTCTACATAAATGTCATACAAAGGATGAAGCCTGTTAATGAGGGTTTTTTAAGAATGCAGGCTTCTAAAACTACTTTACAGAAAGCCTGATTCCTTTCTGTAGCATTCTGTCAGTCACACTCATCTGGTCTTCTCCTACTCCTAAATGGTGAGAATTGTAAGGATGTAAAAACCAATCCTGAACAAGGTCTTTAATAAAGTTAAAAGCTGAGAGTATTTTCATGTTATTCATGCTAAGCTTGATGTCCATACAGTGTTCTCCCTGGCCTCAGTGCGAACTGGCTTGCATTTTGCTATCAGTGAGTAATGGTTATAAGGTGGAACAGGATCTACTGAATCCACTTCAGTTCTGATTTTACCAAGGTCCTCTGTAAGGAAAGGACTTTTTGTGACTTTGTTAACATTTGTAAAGTTTGGGAAGATCTCTATATAGGATAGCTATTAAGGTGTGGATGTAAAGGGGAAAAAAAAAGGCTAAATGCTCCCAATGCTCCCTTGTCCTTCATGCATAACACTCCTACTTTACATCCCCCCTCTTTCACAAAAAGAAAGACCTTGTTCTCTTCCTCTAAGCCACAGATGTCATCTGTGTTTTAAAGAGACACATAGTCTTTCTGTGCATGTGATATGGAATCATCTGGGAGACCAGTTTATTCCAGCCAAGTTAATTTTAACTATCTTCTGCTTTCTGTGCTGAAATTGAAATACTGGAGGACAATATTACAGGAATTTTCTAACTGTGATGGGATTTAAACATGTATCTCATTTTAAAGCAGCTATCAATTCAGTAAGACTATATAAAAAATACCATGTTAAATCAACATTTACTGTCCAGACCGCTCTGGCTTATTTATATAGTCCAGCCGTGATACGTACACTGACAATAAGCTGAAGTCAATACATGTGAAATAAGCGTTCAGTAATGAATACAAGTCTGTCATATTGATATATTATTGACATATTGACGAGTCTTCCTCTATAGATTAGCTTTTAGCTGACGTTAGTAAGATATTAAGGCCATGAAATTCAATTCTAAGACAGAGGCTATGAGTATGATTTACACATGCTTTGGAAATTTAACTCAGGTGTGAAATTAGATTAATAATGTTGATTTTTCAGGAGTGATGTGAGTAATGTGCACCTACGTTATTGCTACACATATTAGAAGTTGTTACTGGTCTCTGAAAGAGCAGCTTGATTTTATAGGAAGGTTACAGAGTCTGGAAATTTCAGCCTCTTTGTTATATTTGCTTTTCTTCCTTTTACAGTCCAGTCACTTCTCTAAAAGGTTATTCATTTCAAACTGGAAAAAGACAGGGACATAACCTGTTAGGCCAAAAGCCTCAGCTGGACATGCTGTGTTTTACTTGATTTACTGTCTGAATATGTCTTCCTCCGGTAATCTGAATGCAGATTCACTTCTGTCATTTTAATTTAGTCTGTTCTAATGTTTGAAAAGTCAGTGATTTGTTTCATGGATAATTTTTTTCTAAATGCACCAACCACGCAGGCTAGTTTTTGCTGCTGAACTCCTGCAGCGGGGTGCCCAGTGATGCCCTGTAGCTATGACCACAAAGTCAGCCTCCAGGTTGGCAGGAACAGTTCCTCCCACCTTGTTAAACAGGGTCTTTCTGCCCCATGGGGACATCCACTAGTGACACCGCTCATAAGTCATGTCCACATTTCTGTGCCTGTCTGTCTGTCATGCATGCACAGGTTGTTGGTCTTCCACTTTGTTACAAAGTAGGTAGAACAGCTGTTAGTCAGGTGTTTGGATCTCTGGAAAATTATGAAATTCAGGTAAGCGTAGTTGTAGGAAAAGGATTGCTTTTTCTTCTGTCAGGAATTACTCTCTTGTGGCTTGATTCCGGTTTTCTCTGAGAACGTGTTGTACATAGTCCTGACTTTTGAGTACCTATTATTCCATGAAGTACTGATGCTAATTTGCTGAATTCTAAGGAAAAACTACCTACAGCTCTGTTAACTACTAACAATACACTTAAACCCCATCATAGCTCTATATTAAAAACTGTAATTTCAGATTGTGCTGGTGGTTCTCTCTGTACTAATTGATAGCAGCTACCAATAACCATAAAGAAAAGAGTTTGAGAGATTGTGAGTGTAAACAAACAAGGCAAATTTTGTATTTCTTTATTTTGTTGAGACTTTTTTCCCCAACAGTTTTTCTATTTGTTTCTTTGGTGGAAAGACTTTAAAATGTCTTATTTTCAACAAAAAAATGAAGTGTGAACTGATTGTGACATGAAAATCTTGTAATAAATTGTTTCTTTAAAATAACAGAATACATTTGCAACACATTTGAAAAAGTAAAATCAACAGTATTGTATTCTCTCTTGTTGTAGAAGTGAGGTTAAAAATGAACAGACACATAGCCTGGATCTTCCACAAGGTTATCTTCAAAAACATATAGTGGCTGAAGAAATCTGAAACAAAATGGGCATCCTATGCATTTCCACAATTAGTGTCTGCTACCTTCCTTTTTGATGGCTGTTTGTCTGAACAGTGTGATTATACGGGGTTGTTGACATGAAAATGTGAGCGATGTGGATGCTTGCCAGGTCATTTCATACAGCAAAATAGAATAATTTGGAAAATATTTTTACTGCAGTGCCAGGTATCAGAAATTAAATCTGTAGGTTCAGTTCACAAGAAGAGGAGAGGAGGGAGATCTCATGAAATAAGATGCTAATTGCGGAGGGTTTAGAGGTGTGTGACTAACCAACAGCTCCTTTCGTGCTTGTGCATGAGGGCAAATATGGTACCTGGGAACATAAAAAGGGAAATACCAAGCGGTAACAGAGGTGATATTGCTGCTGGTCCTAGAGCAGATGACGTGGCGTGGGGACAGAGCCCTCTGTCAGGGCCCTGATGGAACCTCTGGCCCCAACTGTCCCTGACCATACTATACTATAAATGAAAGCGATACTATGGGCTCAATGCACAAACAGTGAGGTGGTGTCATGTATGCCATGCTGGAGGACAGGCTGGCTGGTTGTAATGGTCTCTTCTAGCCTGAAAATTGGGATTTCTTAAAGTGATCAGCTAGATTGTTTTTTGTGTTTCATTTTTATTTAGCTCTGTCTCCTCAGCATGGCCCTCTTAAGTGAGTGTGCTAAATTTGATGTGGAAAGCTGGTGCTCAATTTTAGGTGCCTGACAGTGTCTCTCAAATTCTTATCTCCTATAGAACTACCTTCGCTTATCCAATGTATTAGTTATACTGGAATACGTATGTTTAATTTCTCTCACCTGTGGACTTCTGCTGTGTTTCTGGAGACAGCAGTTCAGCATTTGAGGCCTGATGGCAGTTTTGCAGAGAGACCTGTTACACTTGTTCCTTTTGCTTGTACATGCTGTGGCAGAGGATGTTCAGTCACCATGCACTGCATACACATAGTACAGCATAATCCTGTTGCAAAAAAAAAACCCAAATACTTAAAATAATGAAATATTTTTAGAGCATTATACAGATAATAATCACACCTTCTATCCCTGTTTTCAAAAAATATCAATCTTTTACACAGTCAAAAATATTTTGTTAATAGCACTTGAAGCCACTGGGCCTTGAGGTGGAGTGGTGTACAGGTACAGCACCAGCAAATACATGAATGAAGCTGAAATCAGCTGTTGAAATTTTACTTCAAAAAGGATCATTCCTGAAGTTGTAGCCAAAGCAATAAATCTAGGTAACAGCTGAGCAGTCAGCAACTGAAATAAAAGACTTATCGGCTATCAGAGAAGCATCTTGCCTATCCTTAGATCCTCCATAATTTTACAAATCTAAGAAATTATGTGATAGTTCAAAACAAGTCAGTTTGCCAGGTATTCTACAGTCCTTGGAGATGAGAGTTTCAGAGGCCCAAGTAAATTCAGTTCCTTTAAGTTTCAAGTGTTCGCAGATTCATAGACTCACTCTTCTAGTCACCTTTTACAGTCTTTCCAGTTCTTCATTTAAGGCTGGGAACATCTCAGAGTTTTGTTTCAGTGATTGCTTTTCCTCTCCAGCTGTTACATTCCTTTCTTTATCTTTCCAGTTACTTTTTCCTCATCTCTCCTTATCGCTTTCTATTCTGCCCAGGGAGTCTTAACCACACGGTGGCATACTCTCTTCTTACTGCTTTATTATTTTTTTGTAATTGTACTTGATGAGAAGTAACTGATGTTGTTCATGCCAGCAGCAAGCTGCTTGGCCTACACAGTACTATATCCAGTGAGCCAAGCAACCTGGAGATGTGTGTGAACACAGGTGCAAAAGATGCAGAAATTAGACTATAACATTGAACTGAAGGTTCTGGTACTTACCATCTTTAACTAGAATTGGCCATATTATGTGTTCATCTTTCCAGCTGCATGATAATTGTGGCACTCCTTCTGCAAACAGTACTTTTATACATAGAAGTCCTTTTTTTCCAGCTCCTTGGAATACAGGACTTTTGTTCTCACAGATAGTCTGAGCAGTTTGGTCAGTACAACAGTACCAACTGTTTTCCCTAACAGAACTTAATTTGCTTCCTGTCACTTTTTCATAAAGCAGCAGCCCAAAATACATTGTATTTCAGGACACTGCAGAGAGGTGTTTAGGGCTTATTTTTTTCCCTTTTGGCAGAAAGAGGAAAGAACGCAAAGTTTTACACTGTAAATATTTCTGGGGGAAAAAAAAAAGGGTTTATTTCTTCAGCACAACTGAGAGCTAATTTAAACCGTGGTACAGGTGTTATACAGTTCTGGAATGGAATTCAGCAATTAAGAAGTCCTTTCTTATTCAGGTTAGCCAATACACATTTGCAATGTGCAGTTACAGAGAAAAGAAATCCGAGCCTCAGGAACTGATGCAACTCGAAGGATACACTGTGGATTATACAGCTCCTCACACAGGTACTTTTCATGATTCTGAAATACAATAAGTTTGTGTAAAACAGCTGATTCAATTTGCTTATTTTGATCTAGCAGTAAAAAACCCCGAGGCAATTGTTCCACTAGCATTTTCTGGTGTGAAAAATCATGCTTTTAGAAAGAAGCTGCTTGCAAGAAGAATGAACAATAAACTTACATTAAGGTTGCCTGAAACATTGTAAGACCACAGATGATACAAGGAAAAAATTATGAATTCTAGTCAGTCTTGCCTTTTCTCTCTGTTTTTGAGGGTGGACTCCTGTGGCAGTGTACTGTGAAGTATATTCATAAATTATTTAGAAAAGAAGGTGAATGACAGTGCTTCATAAAGACAAATGACTCAAAGTAATAAAAAATAAATTTGAAGATACCAGAGTCTGCACAAGTTAGTATTAAAATGGCAGAGGGAAATCAAAGTTACACATAAAGAGAAAAATTATTCTACTCTACCTATGCAGTGGAGGGTTATGAATTTAAGAGACTTCTAAGATATTGAAGGTTGATCTTTGGGAATGTTGGCTTGATATTTAGAATAATTGAGAAGGCAAACAATGCTTAGAAGATGTTTGGGAAGCAAAAACAATGTTGTCATAAAGAAATGCCCAGTGCAGACACGTTGACTGTTGTGTGCTCTTCTGGATGCGTGCTCTCAGAACGAAACACTGGAATGAGAAAGAGGGACCAAGGATGGAGGAGCAACACAGTAAGAGGTGTGGAGCTGCATCTGTTCAAGAAGACATAATGTTGACAGGGAGTTCCAGCTAGGAAAATGATGCCAAGAAGGAGGATGCATTAGAGAATTGCAAAATAGCATATAATCTGGAGAAGATGATTAAGAAATAAATTGAAATTTAGTTCGAAAGGGAATTATGGAAATATATTATCCTGTGACTTCTATATTTGTTCACTTCTATGTTACTTCCATGTATTAACATTTGATCCTTATAGCTCTAGATTTTATCAGATTTCTAGGTCATAAGTACCTATATGTACCCACTCCACCCACACACACACATAGAGGAAAACCAATAATGTAATACACATTCATGGTGATTTAGAAGTAACTTGTGTTTGTTAAGATCACCTTCCTATTTCCTGCTTCAGGTCTTCAAGGTGGTCGAATGTTTTTCAATGCTGTTAAAGAAGGCGATACCGTGATATTTGCCAGTGACGATGAGCAGGATAGAATACTTTGGGTTCAAGCCATGTACAGAGCTACAGGTCAATCATACAAACCTATTCCTGCAAGTCAAGCTCAGAAGATGAATCCCAACACAGATATATCCCCGCTTTGTAAGTTGCCTTTCTTTTTCTTTTGTGGCGTTGGTTTTGGTTTTAGTTGGTAAAATATGTAGCAGCTCTCTCAATGAAGTTTAATTAAGCAGAACTCATTCACTAGGGAAATGTGCCTAGCAGTCTGTTGTTAGCCAGAAGCTCTTTAGCTCAGATTATTATTACCAGCAAGGGAAATCCTGACTTGCAGGTCATTATTTTTATTATAATCCATGAAAATACAGCAATTAGCTTCGTATTCATTACAGTTGACCCGCATATTACCATGGAGATGGTGTTTGGTTTACATTGTATTTTTCAATAGCTAGCCAGTGTAGTGTTGAATAGAAAAGCATCAATCTATTCTCAGAATTTTATAGATTTAGGTCAGCTTTATCATACATTGTATATATTAGTTATCTAAAAATTGCTATGCAGACCTTACATTATGTGCTGAAAGACACTACATGGGCTGCTGGATTTTTGCACCCCTCAGTGTAATATTAAACTACATCTAAAAATTTTTCCCAAAAAAATCATGTTTAAGTTTTCTTCATCTTTCTTTGAGGAAAATACTGTTTCAGAGAAAATCAAGGTAGATAGCATATGTCAACCATACCTTGAAATTTTCGTGTAGTCTCTTTGAAAGTATTCTGTTGTGTAGATATCTGCCCATAGGAAGCATATATGATTTTTTTGTTGTTGTTGGTCTGGAGGCTGAGTGCAATCCAAGGATTTTTGTTAATAGCTATCAAATTTTTACAACTTCATATGACTGTATAAAATAATACTTCTTTATTGTCATATATCTGTATATGTACAGTGATAGAAGGGAGATAAATGTTTTAGACTCAACTTGGTTTAATATCTGAAGTCTGTAGCAGGTTGACCTAAAACCATTCTCCTCTGTCAGACCTACAATCACTGAGTCTCATGGCCTTCTGTTCATCCTGTAATCTTTTATCATTTTTGCTATTAGAAGACAGTAAAATGTGCTCATTAAACTCTGTAATAGCTATCTAAAATCCTGACTGGGTTGTCAAGAACATTGGAAAAAACATAGTTTAATCTCACAAGAGCACTGACATCTGTTGAATTCCTAATCTGAAACACTTTGAAAGGGTGAAGTAACCGTTCATCATGGGGAGCATTAAGGTGAAGTATTTTGTAGGGTGTAAGTAACACTGCAAAAGCAAAGGTGGGGCAACAGCTGAGGAGTACTTCTGCTCACCTCCTCCCAGTTATGTGGATCTGGGCTGGGTGCTGGGAGTTCCCTGTGTTCATGTCCTGATGTTTCTACTTTAACTGTGCACCAGTTAAAAAGTGAAAAAGATGTGACCATAGTCAGTAGTAGCCAAGGAATTGCTCTTCTTCTTGGACATAGGGTTTACAAGGAAGTGAAAGCAACTAGGAGACACTGACCACACGACAGGGAAAGTCAGAGAAAGGAAAATGTACAAAGAACAATTGCAAGTGTGGATATACTGAAATTATGTTTTCAGAGGTAAAATACTGATAGTGGTAAAAAATTAAAAATCAAGATTGGCATGTCTTGATATTATCTTAGACAGTTAGTGTGACTATAATTCTTTGGTGGAAACTATAGGAAAAGTAAGGTTTATTTTAAAGACAGTTTAAGGGAACCTCAAAAGCCTCAAAATATCATGTCGTTTTCCGTCATGCTTATGTGCCAACTTGCAGAAGCTGATATGACTGAACTATATATAAATCAAAAAGCAAAATTATTTGCCTTTGGTTTTAATACATTTCAATGTTGGGATTCTGTAATTTATAGAATGCTTTGCAATAGAGTAACTTGTGAAATTTAACTTTATGTGAGGTTTAGTCTTAAAAGAATCAATGTTTGACTGATTTCTGTAATTTCCTCCAGTTCTGCCTACACGAGGAAAATGTTATTGTTCTGTCTTTTGCACTTGAGGTAGAAATGGGCATAATCAAATTAATCAGTTTTTGAGAAACTGCAAGAACTAGGGTTTACAGACATAACCTTAAATAATTCTCTAGGACTTCTGCTTCATTTATGTACACTGTGCTGATTTCCTCAGGGCAAAGTTTTACTGCTAAGAAGAATCTGTAGCTGACCTTTTGTCAGATTTAAACATGTTCAGTTCCCTAAGAAGTTAATTTTGTTTCCCCCTAGAAAAATGTTTGCATGAAGTTAAGAGTATTTTGTTTTTAATCAAGATACAACACCGAGTACTTGAGAGGTAGTGTATATATAAAGTGAAATGAATTTCCATTTTTTTTCTTCTATACTATGTTACATTTTTAGTATTAGGAAATATGACCAGAGAATTTGTCAAGTACTTTTTTATGTATCTTATTTTTCAATTAATACATCATGTAAGCACTTCCAGCCAATACAAGATCACATTGTTTTAGTTTTTAAAGTATATCATGCAGCGCCCCCTCCACATACAGAAAACAGAAAACCGACTACGGCTTTGCAAAACAAATGTCATTTAATAATATTCAAGCCTTGAAACTCTGTTCCCATCTTCCTTATCCTCTAGGAAATAAGAAGTGCAACTCACTCATCTTGATAAAATGTACAAAAAGATCTTTCAATAACTGGCAAAAAATTAAATGTCTTTCAACTGCTGGATGTAGAGAAAAATCAACTTAAGGAGACACATTTCAACAGTTTTATATATTGTATTTATAAAATATCTTTTGTAATCCTGAAGTTCTCTTGATAGAGATGGAAAGCAACTGAAAGTTAAAGGAATTAAAACATCAGATGGTGAATAATATGCCACATACCTAGCTGTATTAAGGTTACTTTTTTGCTAGTAATAAATACTAATATTTCCGTTGTAGGCAAAATTCTACCTTCCAAAGTTAATGTCACATTATTAGCTGAAAAGGACAGATTGTCAAATGCAAGCATTTCATTAAACATTTAACATTTTTAATCAAGTGATATGTGTAAATGACAGTAAATAATAGTTTGTTTTCACAGCCCATACTGTTTTGTATATTCTCAGGTTCAAGTTTTTGTAAGCAGTGGTAGAATTACTCCTGTGATCTATACCATGAACTCCTTTTGTATAAAAGAAAGTAGTAGAAAGGAAGAAGTAAGAGACTCCTTTTGTATAATAAAGGCTATATTTTTTGCAGTTGTACCTTGTTACTTGTAAGATAATTCTTGTATAAAAGAGGGCTTAAAATGACAAAATCCAACCACCTCAGAGCTGGATCAAAACAAATGTATCAGGAACTCTTGAAAAGAAACTGGACGAGATTATAATAAGACAGCCAGGGTCTGACTGATCTTTACAGCAATTGTCACAAATGCAGAAAATGGAAATGTTGCTCTCACATGTACACAGCAGCAGTGCTCCAGAAGGCCAGCCTGCAGATCTCTTAACTGATCTGAATGTGCAGTCTCATCTTGTTGATGCTGTATAGCAGTTTAGGATCATTCACGTAGGGCGTTTAGAGGAAACCTGATATTCTATACTACCAGTGAGGCAAACACACATTTAAGTGTGGCACTGGAATACAAGCTACTGTTGTAGCTGTCTAACTTCTTAAATGAATACTAGCCATTTTCTTCATTTCTAAGTAAAGCAACTTGGTACTGCAGTTTTGCAGTATTAGGAGGCTCCAAAACAAAAGTGAAGACAGGCTAATGTCAGCAGTGATCAAGAAAAAGAGATCGCTCTTCAATTCCACTATTCTGAATAAGCATGCTGTAATGCAAAGGACAGAGTATTTAAGGATGCACAATTGTAGAAAAGCCAGAAGTTTCTCAAGGACATGAATGTTTCAGGGAAAGTGCCAATTAAAGAAAGATTCATCTGAGTCACATAAAGGTGCAAGAGGCAATCCCTTTCTTAATGGGCAATGTATTAGGAGATCTATTCATACAGTTAGAAAGGCTGCTGAAGCAATGAACACTGTTAATAACTTGGTCGCAACAAAGGGGATGAGGAGATTGTCATGTCTTAATGAAGCAATACAAAGCCAAACATCTTTCTGATCCTATACCACCATGAGTTCAGAGATGGTCTCTTTGTGAAAATATTTGCAGAGAAGAAAGGAGAGAGACAGATACTGGAAAACTAAGTTAGGTGAGGAATCATTTGATCTGAGGTGTGTAGTTTTGCTCATCTCTCTTTTGGAATGATGTCATTTATCAAAACAGCTCACAAGAGAAAAATAATTTGTGATCTTGCAGAGACCAATTATAACAGTTGTCGAAAAATGCTGTTTAAAGCCCATGTACAAAGCATCAAATCCTATTAAGTAGCAAGAGAGTAGCAAAGGGAGTCAAATACATAGGCCGTACATTGGTATTACAAGACATCAGTCCAGTGACAACTAAGTTGAAGACATTTACAAATGAAACATTCATCTGACGAAAAGAGCATCACGGGGGAAGCTTGTATGGACATTTACGTCATCCAACTGGAGCAGTCAGCGTTGTGTAATCAAGAAGAACGTGCAGTTTGCCAAATGATTTGGGATTAGTCGTGAAAATATAACATTAACATTTTCAATCTGTTTGAATATACTGATGATAAGTGCTATAAAATTTCTCTCCCTATCATAGTTTAATGATATGAGAATAAATTACACATTTCATATTTCTTTTATATGTTATTTCTGTCAATCTCAGTCTTTGAACTGGCTACATCAGAAACTCTGTGGGAAAACCAGAGTATGATTAATATTAAGGTACTTGTGTCATAATACATGCACACAAGAAATGCCACTGCTTAACCTTATGGTGGCATTGCTCAGTTTTGGAATTATAGGTAATGTTCTTGTAAAGCAGTTCTTTTAAAATAGTTTTGAGAGGTCTGTATCCATATGTTCAATTAATTAAATCTTTTAGAAACAAAGACAAATAAAAGATTTTTTTATTTTTAAATAGTTTTCTCAGCAGGTTTGGCAGCTTTATATCCATCATACATTTTGCCACCTGGAAAACTGGAGTAACTCCACCCTCCCTGCATGTTCCCCCATTCCCCTGCATGTCCCATTCTGCCTGCTTCCAACTAGCCCCATCTCCCTTTTAGAAAGGGGGATGTTAACACTGGCCTCCACCACCCTAGGCAGTAAGTAAGTCACCTTTATCCTGTCTCCTGTGCTACTCATAAACATGCAAAACCTAACTAGTACCCTCTTCAAATCTGACCTTCAGCAAAATGCTGACAGTCCATCAGTGTGCTATCCCCAGCCTGACGGTCAGGCCATATGGGCCAGCTGCTTTCTCATATTCTGCCACTTTCTCTCCAGCTCTTATTTCATTGTCCGATAGTTTAAATGGTAAGGTTCTGGGGACACAGATTGTCTCTTTGGCCTGTGTTTCTAAGCACGTAGCACTTTGGAGTCCTGGTCAATGATCAGGAGTCAAAATGTTCCCAATGTAAGCTGTCACTATCTGTATGGAGTGGCACTTGAAGGAATGTAATGTATGTCTTGCCTCTGTCTTTTGCAAAGAGCATGTGCACCTTCATCTTCCTCCAGCCAGTTCAAGCATCTTCTGTAGCAGTCATTCATAGTTCTTACCCTACTACTAGGTACTTACTCCTAGTCTTTAAATCTCTTTAATCCCTACAATACTAGATTCCTTGTCTATACCTGCTGTTCTTTCCTGCCTGCCTGAGTTAGTTCAGATTGCTACCACAATGCTTAAACTCAAGGAGGGATGTCAGTGAGGGCCACAAAAGGGAGGAGGTCACCACTTTGCAAGGCCGGTAGTTCACCCTAGCACAGAGTAAATGCCACAGAAAATGTATATTTATTTGCTTCTGAGCTGGAACAGGACAGAGATGATGCCTAGTGATTTGATTGTCGCTAGGAACCTCTAAAGCATGTGCCATAAACATGGAATTTTTGATAGTCTTAATTCACTCAACTCTACTGAGTCACTGAGGATGTGATGATTTTTATAGCCTTTACAACTGGACTTAAATTGGAAGTTTCTTGCAAAGATGGCAAAAGGCATATTCAGGATTCTGTTCTGCCAAAATGAATATCCTTGGGTCTAAAAGAATACACAAAGAATTTGCCAAAATTCCTGCAATGGTTTTTGTAAGTTTTTAGCATGTTTTAAAAATATATATATTTGTCCTACCTTGACCAAAAAAAAAAGTCGATAGTGTTTTGGCTGTTTCCGAAATGTGAAATAAATACACAACCTGAAACATACAGTATAACATGGAAATAGCAGCCAAAACAATGAGTTTGAGTTAGAGATAACTTGAAAGCAGGACAACAAATTCCATTAGGAAGGGAAGAAAATTAATTGTGAAAAAGCAGAAGTATTACTGCTTCAAAGTTCTCCCCAAATATCTTCCCAATATTGCCCACGACAGAAAGTGTAGAGAATAAAATGAATTGTATTTTTACTTAGCTGTATATCACAGTATAGCACTCTTTATGTCTTTTGCATTTCCATGTAGCTTGAACAGGGCATCTAAAGCTCATTTGTGTAGAAATTTGAAAAATGCAATCACTCTAACAATTTTTAAAAGCAGGGTGTTAAATAATTTTTAAATCACAGTCATTGTTGATCAAGTTCTTACTTTTTTTATATCCATTTTGTTTCAAAAAGATTTACCAGTTATCTTGTATGTGTATCATAACAGTAAAATAAAATGCGATGTATTACACTAGATCTATTTTTCTGTTATTTCCTGCTTGCCTACAGCTGGCAAAGGTAAGTTTTTCTGTTGCTAAAATGTATTTGGTAACAGATATTCTGTTACTATTTGGCAATGTTATTTGTACTGTTTGATCCACTTAAAGAGATGGTGATCAGTCATGGATCTTTCTGTAGAATTAAATCTAGCAATTTTTTATATTTTTAAATAAATATTTTTGCTTATATTACCCAAATTCCGTGATAGCAGATTCTGCTTTCACAAGCTGCATTGTATTCAGTAGGTCACCTTACACATTCTGATCATCTGGATCACTGTATCAGAATGTTGAATCTGTTTCATTTGCAGCATCCAGTCTCCTGATTTTAAAATGCTTAATTACATGTCAGTACTTACACAGATTTTCCTTTAAAAAAGAGGAATCTTTTATATTTGTGTGGTTAACCAGAGGAAAAAAATCAAGCCAGTTAATTTAAGAAAGATTCAGCTGTGTATAAGTTGTACATGAGACCGATAGCAAAAAAAAATTTGAATCCTTTTTCTTTTCTGTCATCTGTCTTACAGGAAATAATGGCTTGGTACATCAGATATTTGTATAAGAAGGAAAAATTAAAAGAAATTTAGAAACCAGTCACACATTAGTTGAGTTTGGAAAACTTTTATCTCTGTGTGAATCATTTAGGAAACTATAGATAACTTCACATTGTAGTTCAGTAGTTTCAGTAATGTAGTTGTGTTGATAACAGTTGTTTATCTTTGAATTCATGTGTTTAAATACATTTAAAGTGCACTAATTAAGAGAGAATATTTCATGTACCTGTGTCAAAAATATGGGCTAAGTTTGTCATTAATGATAGCCTAGTCTAATGCTCATGGAAATATTGTTGATCTATGAAATGACATATGCTATTGATCCTTAAACCATTAAAAATATATGCTGTTGTTTCTCTGGGATGACGGTCTCATACCTTACACCATCGATGTATTGTCATACTGTTTATTTGCTACATCCACCTTGGTGAAATCTGTCACATGGATGTGACTCTTGCTTTGACAATGCAAAGCCAAGTGATATGAATTAGTTTCTGCATCTTTCCAGGATGTGATGCTGCAGATCCTTCAGCTTGAATTAAATAATTCTCTCATCCACAAATACAGCTGAAAGTTGGACTTGACATGGATCAATATGATCTGGGGCTAAATTTCTAAATGTGACTGATTATGTTAGCATCATGCCCACAGATCAATATTGAGTTTTATTATGAACCTGACTCTATAATTGGGTTTAATCAATAAACTTTTGTCTCCTTTTCTTTAGAAATTTTAGGTTTGTACTATGCAGGTTTTCAAAATTGCATTTAGGATACACTTAGATCTATACTTTTCTAGTAACGAATATAAAAAGAACTAGGTTTGAATTTAAAGGAACAAAGAGCTAAGACGCTATTGAAAGGGGAAGTCAATTTTTAAGTTGATCAGACTGTTCACTCCAGTACAGTCTATAGAATCCAAGACAGCTAATGTGCTAATACATAACTAGTCCTTTTGGGCACTGTAAGGCTTTTTCTGTCCATACTTGATAGATAATTCACATTGAGGACTGACAAAACATAGCATTAATGAAAGCAATCACTAGAGCTTCTCTTTTGATAAACCCGCGGGGTTTAAAGGCGTTGAAAGATGCAATCTGTGAAGAACAATAAATTTGGGCCTTTGATTGAAGTGCCATTTGGGATGGTATGTTTTCTCGATGTATTTACACAAAAATGCTGCTCCCTTTTTCACTACTTTTTGCTGGAAGGTTGAAGGAGCTCTTTGCCATTACTACATTAAGGTTTGTCTCATTAAAAGCTGAGTACAAAAAGAAGGCTGGAAATGACCTAGCTCAAGCCAGTGTGTTCATTTCTGCTCCAGTTTGCCATTTGAGAAGTAGGCTTCAAGCCATGATGAATATTTCTGTGAGTGGTACTTTGATCTGCAGTAAAGATGCTCTTTCTTATCTGAAGAAATAAATGCATAAACTTTTTCTTGTCTTTTTTTTTTTTTTTTTTTTTTTTTTTTTTTTGCTGTGGAGGAAAGGGTATTTATTTGGTTATTTTGCTAAAATTAGAAAGGGAGCCACACAAAACCAGGAAGTTATAGAACAGGTTTTTCATACCTATAACATTGTTTTGTAAATTGTAACATTTAAAGAGCTCCACTACAAAACAATGCTTTAAGAATTATTTTAATGTACTACGTTGTATTTTCTGGTAGCCTTTTTAAATTTTGTTTTATCTGTCAGTGGGGAGCAACTGTATTTTTTTTCACTGTTACATTCAATAAATTGGTATGATAGAATAATAATTCAGTAATATTATTTTCAGATTAAAACCCAAGTTGCTGTAATAAGTGACCTGCAAGCATCGACTTGTGTGACTCATTTCTTTGAGATATTTTCAGAAAGGTTTATATATTGAGACTTATATACCATGTGTACATTTGTGTTTGTAAATCTGCACACACACTCACATGTATTGTTCTGCACATTTTTCCTTTGTATGAACAGATACAGACCGTGGTCAGAAACATGGCATGGATGAGTTTATTTCTGCTAATCCCTGTAAATTTGACCATGCTTCCCTCTTTAGACTGCTTCAGAGGCAGACCTTGGATCACAGATTGAATGACTCCTATTCTTGTTTGGTGAGTACTGGCTGGAAGATAGATATAAAGAAGTGAGAAATAGTTGTTACAAAGTAGTCCTTTCTCCCTAGTTCATTCAATAGCTGCAGTTGCAGTTGGAATAAAGGGTCCAATCAATTGGTTTCAAATTTGAAAATTATACACTTGCAAGCTGCTGCTGTGCCACTCAATAGAAAGCAAAGAGACCCAAATGTCTCTGATTTTGTCAGCTGAAATTTGTCATGTCCTCTACGGAGGTTTGAATAAAAACAGAAGGTTTTGATAATGGTAAGAGCTCCTGTGGCAGGATTTACTGACACCTGTACAGACATTTTAAGGTACAAATGTAGTTGCCTCATATCAGACTTTTTCACCTATGTTGTAATTCTTCATTCCAAAAACACCAAAAGAAGGGAAGCAGAACCACAGGCAATATGGATATGTGGGCGTATATGTATTACCTGAATTGCAAGTAACAAATGTGAGTATAATTATTAAACAAAAACAAGTAAAGTATGATCTCTGTACCAAAATTAATGTGATCGCTATAAAAGAGAAGACATTGGTGTAACTTCCTTCTGTATTTGTAGCTGCAGTTTCCTTTTCTACATAACATTTTCTGTTCTATGCTTTGTGGACTAGGAGTTGAGGATGGGGCTGCTTCAGGTTTTGTTTTCAGCAGGGAAAACCAGCAACAATCTTGTGGAAGTCCGTCAGATTATACACACTTGTTAAACAGGGTTGTGTCGGTCAGACCTGATAACTTCCTGAGGCTTTATTTTTCACCTGAAAGAGTGATCTCTCACCAAGGACCTCAAATGCCTCATAGCGCATAATTTTTTTTTGCTTTTTTATCCCAATAGCAACAAAAAAGGATAACTTTTAACTTCTTTTTTTCCGTGGGTCTGACTATTCATGTAAGACAAAGACAATGATGGGGTTTCTTAGGTTTGTTTGCAAGTGTAAAAAGGGGAAACAAACTGATTATTTGATGACAGTTGTTTCCTTCTTAAAATACTACCAGGTAAGTATGTCTAGAAAAAGTTAAAGGACTCATTTTCTGTCTGTGGGTTGCACGCTGAATCAAACAAGAGGCCCGAAGGTACATCTGTACAAAGTAATTGGCACTCAAAGAGAAAATGGATAGCTTTCTAACAGTGCATTGGGGTCAAAATCTTTTTTTATAATAATAGTATAGTAAGACACTTAATATAACCTTGAAATCAGGAACTTTTAGAAGAGGTTAGGTGAAATACACAGTGCTATAGCAACCATAAAACAGATGCATTTCTTATAGTTCTTTTTAAAATTCAGCTTTTAATAGGTAAAATGGTGATCCTTCTTCTTTAATTGGATACTTAACTATATTTTTTAATTTAAAAAATTGAGAATATCAAGGTAGCAATAGAATGCATGAACACGTAAGTGTGATTATTTTTTTCTTGAACAGCTCATTTGCTGTCGCTTTTGGAAACAATGCATTCCTTTATTTCAATAAATATAGAGTAACTACACATACAACTTGTGAAAATAAAAACAAAAATATGTAAGAATTATTATTAAGCACAGTTCTGTATTAAATTACTATATGACCTAAGCTTCTTTAATTTTATATTCTTCTCAGTATTGGGGAGCTGCTTTTTTGTTTGCTTTTTTTTCAATTATACATTAAATATATGCAGTTATCTAATACTCTGTAGCATATAGTTGTTATGTGTTTATGAGACTTATGCATGGTATGGGGTTGAACAAGGGCAAGGAAGGCACATATGTATATGAAAATGACCACGCTAAAACAGATCTCTTACAGAGAGTTAAAGTAGTGAGTTCTTAAAAAGTTCATATTCTTTTCACAATTTTCTCCTATGAGAACAGACAGAAATTTTAATAATTATTTCCTTTTGTACTGCTAGGCATTGACATGCAGCATTTTGTCATCTTTTCCATAAAAAAAGTAGAGAGAGATCAGTGACAATAACCACATATTGGCAGAATATCAATCACAGTAACTACTGTTCATTATATCTAGGGCTAGGATACATATTATTGCAGAAGCTCGGTTAAAAATGCCTTTTCTTTCTTCATTCAATGGAATACCGTATTTTCTAGCAGTGTGTAAACTGTGTGAGCCATTGCAACATGACTGGGTATTAGCCTAAAACACTGAGTACTGTTCTGGGTGCTGTAATAAAGCTAAGTGTTCTCTAGAAACAACTGAAGCTCTTTAAAGGCAGTGGAAACATTGACTTCAAAGACATTAATCAGGAGCAAACAAATTTATGAAATAACTTTGGGGTCTTCTTGTTTGCAAATAATGATACATTCAAGAGAGTTGGGGGAGAATATAAAATTTGAATTCCTGTCTCATGCAAGTGTTTTAGTAAAGTTAAAACACAGGTGATTTAAACCTGATGTGAATATATTTTTAAGTATTGTTTAATAGTATTTTTCCTGATATTTTATTTAAATATTAAACATCTGATCTTGCAGAAGTATTCTCAAGCAATAGGGAAATTTTGGTCTTCAGCTGCTATACTGGTGTTATAAATTCATGACTTGCAAAATCATTTTGCTTATCCAAGTTATTTGTATATTTGAGTTCAGGTGTTCCTCAGTCTCTCAACCATTTGGCAGGGATGATGAGAGGGAAATACCACCACAATTAAGAAAAGAACAAAGAAAAATGCTTATTTAGAACAGCTGTGCAGCAGCTGTAGTTTCCCAATATTCATGTTTTTCTCTCTGCTGCTTTTTGGAAGCTCACTGTGCTACTTTTTTTTACATTGGGAGGCAAAGTAATCAAGACACTTCTGTTTTACATTTTGACATCAAGAATCAATTATTTTTTTACACCCTGGATTCACTCAAGAACTGTTTTTGTGGTGGGAAGGAGTCTGTATTTTGTTTGTGTCTGTGTCAGGGTTACACCGTTCTGGTCTCATAAAGACTCTGCTCAAGTAAGCCCTCAGTATGTCCCAGAATATCTAATTATTTTTTAAGGTGAAATCATACGCATCTTACTAAGATGGCTTTCAACAAACTACCTAGCTTTGTATCTCTTTACTAATATTAATTGTTAAAAAGTTGTTAAAAGTGCACGCATTTTACCTGAGAAACAGGATAAATGGTCAAATTGTGGATCTCTCACATTAAAGTTGCAGCCACAGGGCACTGACCATCCAGAAACTGTGTTTTAATGTCCATGTTAATGTTCTTCAGCATTACCCAAATGTTCTCTCATAACTTACAGTTACTTTAAAAAAATTAATTATTTTAAAGTGTTAGCTTATTTTCTATTAGGTTTTGATATAATTGAATCTGTATCAGACTTTTATTAGCATGTTTTTGTAAACAATCTGTTTCCTAGTAGCAATAACTCAGAACTGCAAACAGTTTCCTGACATTTACTCCTTTCAGCAAGAGGGTTATTGTTGGATCTAGCTTCCGGTGCCATCAGCATTAGTCAGATATAAATCATTCCAGTACTAAAAGTTTATGTAATGCATATAAAAATACATGCTTCTGTTCTTTTTTTGATTTAAAAGCTGTGAGTGGGAAGAGAAATCTCAAAACATTGTGGGGTTTTTTGCCTTTCTCTTTCAGGGTTGGTTTAGCCCAGGTCAAGTCTTCGTATTAGACGAATACTGTGCTCGCTATGGAGTGAGAGGCTGTCACCGCCATCTTTGCTATCTCAATGAATTGATTGAACATTCAGAAAATGGTTCTGTCATTGATCCCACCTTGCTGCACTACAGTTTTGCATTTTGTGCTTCTCATGTTCACGGTAACAGGTAATTTAATGATATATTTTTAAATTCGTAGCCTTAGGAGGAAGCAAAGGTATTTATAGGCTCTTGCATTCACCAGGTAAGGAAGTTGCACAAAACAGAAATCAGTTCATGAAATTTTCTTTGGGGGTATTGGAGGTTCTTTACAGACTACTGTTAAAAAAAAGAATCTCCTTTCAGTTGGTACTGTCTTAATGCAGTGTGTTTTCTTGGGCATTGTATAGACAATTTTGGCACTTGAACAATTTTGCGGTTTAAGGGAATTTTAAACTATTTTTCTGCAGTCTGTAGCTTGGCAACTAATCGTGCTATACTGAGTTCTTCTGGCTGTGCTAGCACAGGGAGAAATAGCATATATTGGGAATGTGGTGTGACCCCATCCAGGAAGAGCTAGGATACTTCTGGAATTCTTTCCACTAAAGAGGTAGGCTGCTTCATGAGCTGTTGGTCATGGTGATGCTCTTGGGATGATGTCTTCCTGCCACTTGCAAGTGAAAGACTTTGAAAAAATTGAGTTGTTGCTTTGCTGTGCTAAGCACATTGTCTTTAAAAGAATCTTTTGCTTCATCTGTGTCTTATACCAAATTCTGAGGGAACTAGCTCTGCTATTGAGCAGCAGGTATTGGAGACAGGATCATAGCTCAGGCTGGAAGGGACCGCAGGAGGTCTCTAGACCAACCTCCTGCTCGAAGCAGGGTCAGTTGCAAGGTCAGACCCAGTTGCTCAGGGCTTTATCCAGTCAGGTCTTTACCTAGTTTGAACCTCTTATTTCAGTGGAGAAATATCTATTGTCTCTTCACAACCTCCCAGTAGCAGATGGGAGGCTGTCATTCAGTCCCCCTAGACACCACCTATTCTCCAGGCTGAACAAGCCCAGCTCCCTCAGCCTCTACTCAAAGCAAGTGCTCTGGCCTCTGGCTATCACGGTGGCCACCCACTGAACTTGCTCCAGTTTATCCATGCCTTCCTTGTACTGGAGTGGGGAGTGGGGCAGGCAATCTATCAAATTATAGGACAACATGCATTTATACCCTGCTGTGCACACTAGATTTGTAGACTACAGTAGGAAATACATTTTTAAAGTTCAAAAATAACAAGGGAAAATCCAAAAGATGTCGTCTTCTCCACCGATCCAGTCCTGCCACTAGTGGAGAACCTATACTGTGATGCTGTCAGTAAGTCCCCAAAACTGAATTCTGGTAGGGATTAGGAGAGAGAAAGGTTTCTTCCCAACATATATGCTTGAGTTGCCTTGCACCCAGTCAGTCACAGAGGCCCTGTTACTTGTCCTTGAGCCAGTGAAGAAGGGAATCCTTAAAAAGGATAGTGTTTCCTTCATTGACTCAAACAAAGCCTCATCTGTGAGAACAGGAGGTGAACATTTGCGACCTGGGTGATTTGGTAGTGGGAGATTAACATTATGTAATTCTTGGTAATAATTTCAAGGGATAATAATATCAAGGGATATTGAGGGACCTTGAAAGGCTTAAGACGTAACCCCGTGCAAACCTCATGAAGTTGTGCAAACCTCATGAAGTTCAACAAGGCCAAATGCAAGGTCCTGCACATGAGTCAGGGCAATCCCAAGCACAAATACAGGCTGGGCAATGAGTGGTTTGAGAACAGCCCTGTAGAGAAGGAGTTGGGGGTGGTGGTGGATGGAAAACTGAATATGAGCCAGCAGTGTGCACTCACAGCCCAGAAAGCCAGTCGCATCCTGGGCTGCATCAAAAGAATTGTGGCCAGCAGGTGGAGGGAGGGGATTCTGCCCCTCTACTCTGCTCTGATGAGACCCCACCTGCAGTGCTGTTTCCAGCTCTGGGGCCTCCAGCACAAGAAAGACATGGACCTGCTTGAGCAGGTCCAGAGGAGGGTCATGAAGATGATCAGGGGTCTGGAGCACCTCCCCTATGAGGACAGGCTGAGAGAGTTGGGGATGTTCAGCTTGGAGAAGAGAAGGCTCTGGGGAGAGCTTCCAATACCTGAAAGTGGGCCTACAGGACAGATGGGGAGGGAGTGTAGTGATAGGACAAGGGGTAACAGTTTCAAACTGATTTAGATTAGATGTAGAGAAAA